TTAAACCCGGGACCCCTGGCGGCGCATGGATTTCTTTCCTTCTTCCCCGCGCGCGTTGCCGTTGGAACCCCTGAACCCCTCCGACTACCGTACAACTCGTACTTGAGTTTCCAATATATTGAGTTTCCAATATATTGCGTTTCCAATATACTGGGTTCCCAATATATAAGCCCGAACCCGAACCCAAACCTCACCGGCTGTAATTCAGTTGTTCCCGTACTAATACAAATCCCTAGTGCAACCGCGATTAAGGTGTTGTTGCATTGCACTTACAGTCTCGGCTCTCACGCTTTTCTTCCTCTGGTTGCGCTTGGGGGGGTGGGACCCCTCGCGCGGGCACCCCCGCGGCTGGGAGTTCATTCCTCTTCCGGAATTTGAGGGGGGGGTAACCCCCGTGCTCGAACCCCATCGCCAGGGTTTTTTTCTTTCCTCCGCGGAAACCGGACCCCCTGGGTTCTTCGGCGCGCCCCTTTTTTTTTTCTTTCCGGTTGGGCCTCCATGGGTCTTAGGTTGGAGTCACCCGGGTGATTTTCCAGTGGGGGGGGTCCGGGAACGTCGAAAGAGCACATGGAGCCCATACCCCCCCCCCCCCGAAATTCGGGTCTTCGGGTTGGGTTGGTGTGGTCTGGTAGGTAGTCAATTGGAAGTTGGCGCCAGCGGGGGACATGCACGGAGGGTGAAGCAGCGCAAAACACTGCGGAACACGTCTGACGGATGCCCCGCTGCATCGCCAGGCCTAGTGAAGCGTTGCCAGGAAGGCGCCGGAATCATCTTAAATCGGGCGTGTCCCCCTACAGGGGGCTTTCACGGGAAATTAAAACTATATCATCCCGGCAAAGCAACCTAACAGCGATGTGTATAAGCATATTTGGAAGCATTCCCCTTAAGATGCAGGTGACAATCCAGTTGTAGAATTCTGGTGTTCTCGCAGTCGCAGTCGCATTCGCAAGGACAGTCGCAGTGGCAACGGCCTTAGGATCCAATGGGATCCTGAGGATTCCTAGGGATTACTAAGGATTCCCATGGATTCCTACGGATGCCTCAGCCTGCCTCAGTTTCAGCCTCAGCCTCAGCCTGCCTCGGCTTGCCTCAGCCTCAGCCTCAGCCTGCCTCGGCCTCAGCCTCAGCCTCAGCCTCAGCCTCAGCCTCAGCCTGCGTCAGCCTCAGCCTCAGCCTGCCTCAGCCTCAGCCTCAGCCTCAGCCTCAGCCTCAGCCTCAGCCTGCCTCGGCTTGCCTCAGCCTCAGCCTCAGCCTGCCTCGGCCTCAGCCTGCCTCGGCCTCAGCCTGCCTCAGCCTCCCCTCCCCCCCCCTTCCCCCCCCTCAGCCTCCTTCCCCCTCAGCCTCATCAGCCTCAGCCTCAGCCTCAGCCTGTCTCAGCCTCAGCCTCAGCCTGCCTCAGCCTCAGCCTCAGCCTCAGCCTCAGCCTCAGCCTCAGCCTCAGCCTCAGCCTCAGCCTCAGCCTGCCTCAGCCTCAGCCTCAGCCTCAGCCTCAGCCTCAGCCTCTGCCTCAGCCTCAGCCTCAGCCTCAGCCTCAGCCTCAGCCTCAGCCTCAGCCTCAGCCGCAGCTTGCCTCAGCTTCAGCCACAGCCTCAGCCTCAGCCTCAGCCTGCCTCAGCTTCAGCCTCAGCCTCAGCCTGCCTCGGCTTGCCTCAGCCTCAGCCTCAGCCTGCCTCGGCCTCAGCATCAGCCTGATAGGCGTGGCTGCATCGACCTTCGTGCACGCATGCTAGCGCCGACGGTCAGAAAGGGGCACGGCGGGCTCGCGCGTGACGCGCGCTTTCCCCACCTCCCTCCCCCTCCCTCCCTCCCTGCCTACCGGCACGCCAACAGGCACTCCCTGCCCCCTCCCCCCTTTGCCTACAGGCACGCCTACAGGCCCTCCCCCGCTCCCTGCTTACAGGCATGCCTACAGGCCCTCCCTGCCTACAGGCACGCACCCCCTCTCTTCCCCTCTCTCCCCCCCTTTTTTCCCTTTCTCCCTGCCTACAGGCACGCCTACAGGCCCTCCCCCCACACACACCGCCTACAGGCGCCCCTGCCTACAGGCACGCCTACAGGCCCTCCTCGCCTACAGGCGCGCCTAAAGGCCCTCCCTGCCTAAAGGCATCCGCGCTCCCCAACGGCAGCGCCTACAGGCGCTACCTGCGGGGCCTTCCTGGCTGCGACGACCCATAGGGCCTATAGGTCGCGGGCGCTCGCAGAAGGGAGGAGCGCCGCGTATACGCGGGAACCAACCCAATGGGTCACAGTCCAATGGGTCAGCCTCAGCCTGCCTCAGCCTCAGCGTCAGCCTCTCAGCCTCAGCCTGCATCAGCCTCAGCCTCAGCCTCAGCCTGCCTCAGCCTCAGTCTCAGCCTGCCTCAGCCTCAGCCTGCCTCAGCCTCAGCCTCAGCCTGCCTCGGCCTCAGCCTGCGTCAGCCTCAGCCTCAGCCTGCCTCAGCCTCAGCCTGCCTCAGCCTCAGCCTCAGCCTGCCTCGGCCTCAGCCTGCGTCAGCCTCGGCCTCAGCCTGCCTCAGCTCGGGCATTCAAAATATAGCACAGGACTGGTGTTCTGGGAACACGAAGATCACGAAGTGGCCCACAGCTGGCTCCGGGCAATCAAAATATGGTACAGGAATGGTGTTCTGGGAACACGAAGAACACGAAGTGGCCTACAGCTGGCTCCGGGCATTCAAAATGTGGCCTGGGAATGGTGTTCTGGGAACAAGAAGAACAGGAAGTGGCCTACAACTGGCTCTGGGCATTCGAAATGTGGCCTGGGAATGGTGTTCGGGGAACACGAAGAACACGAAGTGGCCTACAGTTGGCTCCGGGCATTCAGAACACGAAGTGGCTTACAGTTGGATCCGGGCATTCAACATGTGGCCTGCGAATTGTGTTCTGGGGAGTCCCCGGATCCTCCCCAGCACCCGCTCAGACCCCCCTGGGAGCCCCGGGGAGTCCCAGGATTCTCCCCGGCATCCGCCCAGACCCCCTTGGGGAGTCAAGATGCTTTCTTTTGAGCCCATTAGAAACCTATCAGTCTTCGCTGTTAGTAATCAAGAATATGCCAACATGGTCAAACAATAATTTAAAGAAATAGCCCTCGTACATTTTTGACTATTTTTGATTATTCCTCCTGTAGAGGGACAGGCCCGACTTAAGGATAGTCGTCACTTTGGCAGAACACCACGAGGAACCCTGTGCGCACCGGGCTCGTGGAGTCAACGTGGGCCGTCCGCTCGTCGATATCTCCGCGGGGAGCTCGCAAGGACCGCCGTCGGCGAGCTGCCTTTTGCAGCGTCGGGGAAGGATCCCATGGCCAGCATGGTCCTTCTCGCGGAGGCACTGTTCATCCCGGGCATCCCAGGACAGACCGCTCCAGGCCTTCGCAACCCTGTCCGCGCTGACGGTCGCGCGGATGGGCTGCCACCGCGCCCGCGCCGCCGCGCCCATGCCGCTCCTTACCCTGAAGTTGCTCCACCCGTCGCCGCCGTCCTTCTGGATTCTCGCGTGCACCGCAGCGTCGGCCCTGCTTGTGCACCAGACGGAATCCTGGTGCTGCACGGCGGGGCGGGGGCCTGCAACTGCACGAGGCCCGAGATCTTGCCGCCCTGCCTCTCCTTCGAGCATGCCCATCCTTAGCCCGCAGGAACATCCTCCTCGTCCTCCTCCTCCTCGTTGTCCTCCGCGCACTGTTCGCCCCACCCCCGTCTTCCTCCCGGCATGGCAGGGTTGGGAGTGCTGATGCTGATCCAGGGCGCGTCGTCCCGGGAAGTCATTCTTCGGGGCGCCACCGGATGGCCAGGCAGACGCCACAGCCACCAGCAGCGCGCCCCGGGGAGCCTCCCCCGCCGCCGCCCTGCGCCGGAGCTGCCGCGGGCAGCGGCGGAGGGACGGCATGCCCCCCCCCTGTGGAGGCCCATGCCAGGAGGCACCCTGCTTGCCTCCAGGGTGCCCTGGGTTTCCTGGGTTCCGATGGTTCTGCGATGGAGAGCGCGACGCTCCCGCACCAGAAGTCGATGGACGTCCTGGGGTCTCTGGGTGGAAGGTTTCTTGTGGAAGGTTCCCTGTGGACTGGCCTCCACTGTACGTCGGGCCCGTCCCTCTACAGGAGGAATGTCCAAAGATCGTAGAAGAATAGTCTGGGCATTATCTTTTGAGTATTTTTTCACTATTTGGGCTTATGTTTTGAGTATCTTATGTTTTGCATCGAAAATCCCCCTGTAGGGGGACACGCCCGACTTAACGCTATTGCGAGGGGGTGGGAGTCGATGTACGAGGGAAAGCGGGAGCAGGCGGGGAGGAGAGCCTTCCAGTTCGGGTTTGGTCCGACGCAGTCCCTGCTGGACACGAAGGAAGGGGGGAGGGGGGGGAGGAGGATCCCTGACTCTGCCCCCGCTGCCGGGGAGGAGGAGGAAGGGAAGGAAGAGAAGCAGGAGGGGGGGAAGAGGAGAAAGAGAGGAGGAGGAGGGGGGGAAGGATGAGAGAGGGAGGCACCACATTGCTGCCAGGCACCAGAGATAGCGATTTTCTCCTCGCTCAACTCCGGCCCAGGAGAGAGGAGGGAGATGGAAAGGAGGGAAGGAGGGAGGAGGAGCAGATGTAAAATGATTGAGGATGACTGACTGGGTTTAGATCCCACGAGGTCCTTGGAGGCCTTCGAAGGTCCTTGAAGACCCCACGGAGGCTTCAAAAAAACGCATTCCGATTCCAATTTCGAGGCCGATCCAGCCACGGCGACGACAGGGGGCTCCGAAGGCCCAGGAAGGACGAGCGAAAAGGAGGGGTAAGAGAAGCGAAGCAGGAGAGGAGCCGAGATCGGGAACTTTGGTCCAGCGTGTCGCGCCGCCAGCTCCGGCCCCCACCACGCATCAGCACGGCCCAAGAAGGGCCAAGCACGTCCAATGATCTAAACAATATATATTTATATATGTATATATATATATATAATAAAATAAGAAAAAAACGTCCAAAGGTCTCCTCCCTCGGACCGCGGACCTCCATCCTCCTGCTCCAAGGCACGAGATCACCCTGAGCGAGGAGCCGCCGAACGCCGAGGAGCGGCCCGACGGCGGCGGCGGCGGCGACGGCACTGGCGTGCAGCCGACGACGGCGGCAACGGCTTGCGCTCGATGTCGTTCGACCACGCCCGACCCGACACCACCCTGGCTACGTTTCTTGGGCGTCGCGTAATGGGGGGGTCATAAATGGGGGGGTGGCGAGGGTGGTCCGAAAAGGTACCCAAATGGTACCTAAACGAGCCCCTTGAGGCTCTGGAGGGGCCCGAAAGGGGCACGAAAGGGGACCGTTTCTGACCCCCCCATTTGTGACCCCCCCATTAAGCAACGCCCAAGTTTCGAGCGCGCGGCCAGCCGTGGCCTGAATGTAGAAAGTGAGGGGGCGGGCGACGACGTCGTACGACGACGGCGGCGTCGACGAATGACGACGGTTGCGACGTGCGACGCTGGCGACGACGGCGGAGGTGGCGACGTGCGACGACGTGCAGCGACGTGCGACGGTGGCGACGTTGGCGGCGGTGACGACGTGCCACGACGTGCGACGGCGGCGGCGGCGGCGACGGCGGCGGCGACGGCGGAGCGACGACGTGCGACGACGGCGGCAACGTGCGACGAGGGCGGCGGCGGCGACGTACGGCGACGACGACAGCTGGCGGCGGGGCCGCCGCCGCGCGGAGGAGCGCCCCGAGTTCCACGGGCCCGCCACGCCCCAGGGGCCCGGCAGCCACCGGCGCGGCTCGCCGTCGTCGCTCGTCGTCGGTCGTCGGTCGTCGGTCGTCTGTCGTCTGTCGTCGGTCGTCGTCGTCGACGTCGTCGTCGTCGTGGGCGTGTCGTCGTCGTCGTCGGCGTGTCGTCGTCGTGTCGTCGTCGTCGTCGTCCTCGTGTCGTCGTCGTCGTCGTCGGCGGTCGTTGTCGTCGTCGTCGTCGTCGTCGTCGTCGTCGTCATCGTCGTCGTCGTCGTCGTCGGTCGTCGGTCGTCGGCGGTCGTCGTCTTCGGGAGAGGAGGAGGAGGAGGAGGAGGAGGAGGAGGAGGAGGAGGAGCAGGCGGAGCAGGAGGAGGTCGCCGTCGGTCGTCATCTGTCGTCGTCGTCGGTCGTCGTCGGACGTCCGACGTCGTTGGTCGTCGTCGTCGGTCGTCGGTCGTCGTCGACGTCGTCGGACGTCCGACGTCGTCGAGGCGGGGCGGTCCGCGGCGGGCTGCCGAGGTCCGCCGAGCCGGAGGAGGCCTTCTCGGGGGACCCAGTGCTGTTCTACGCCATGGGCCTGACGGAGGCCTGGTTCGAGTGCAGTGGGGGCGCGCACCAAGAAACCACTTGCCTTTCATCAGGGTGCCCTGGGTTTCTTCGCTCCGCGCGCAGCGCGGTGGCTTCCCGCGGCCGTCGGAGAAGCTGCTGCGTTCAGAGTGCTCCGGGTTTCTCCTCAGGTGCACCTCGGGCGCGGGTTTTCAGGGTTGGGTTTCTTGCGAGGGTTTCTTGCGGCCGCGCCCGCACTGTAGGGGATCGATTACATGATCGATTTACCCACATTTGATTTGCCCCTATCGGACCTACAACGAATTCGTGGCATGTTTGCAGATCGATCGGGGAGTCTGAGTATGTTCTCATGGATTCGACGAGGAAACTAATTGTGGGCTAAATTAATTCTGTAGTCGATCCCCTGCTCGACTGGTGCGTCCTGTCGCCGCCGCAGCTCTCGTCGGCGCCGTCCTCGTCGACGTTTTCGCCGCCGTCGTCGCCGCCGCCGCAGCCGTTGCCGTCTTCGTCGGCCTCGTGGTCGACGTCGGCGTCCTCTCGGAAGCCTCTTTGAAGCGGGTTCGGGGTGTCTTGGGGCCTCTTGGGGCCTATTGGGGGCCTCTCAGGGGCTTCTTTTGGGCCTCTAAGACAGGGGGGAGTGCATCTTTTGATGTTTGATGTGCATTCTGTTAAGTTGGGGGCCTCTCAGGGGCTTCTTTTGGGCCTCTAAGACAGGGGGGAGTGCATCTCTTGATTCTTGATGTGCATTATGTTAGGAAAACGTGCTGATTTAGACGCGCGGCGGTGGGTCCCTCCAGGATGGCATCGCGACGTTCACAGACACTGATCTCAGCGAGCACGCCCGACGCAACAACGAAGATTGTCTGATGTAAGGTCCGCCAATAAACGCTTCGGGAATCGAGTGGAACCGCGGGGTTTCCGTAGGCCTCCCAGCAAACGGCCGAAACCCTAGCTGATATCAGTGGGCGAGGATGCGTTGTTAGGCTTTCTATGCTCTTCAATCAAAGGTGGGGAGCCCATTGCCCCGCTCAGGAGCCCGCGGTTCCCCGCCCGCCACGCCCACGCGGAGTCTTAGGATTTCACCAGGGGGCGGTTCGCACGCATCGCCCAGCCGTCGTCGACCGCCGTCTACCGTTGGCTGCTGCCATCTGCGCAATCTCCGCCGCCATCGCCATCGCCGCCAGCAACCTCGTCATTCATCGTCGCCAGCGTCGTCAGCTCCGCCCCCATTGTTGACGCCGCCGTCGCCCTCGCCATCCATCTCCTCGTCGCCATGATCGTCGCCGCCGCGGGCTTCATCGTCGTCGAGAATGCTCGTGTCAGACGGTTGCCTGCTCCGGCCAAACGAAAAAGGGCCGCCCACCTTCCCATGCGTCCGCGCGTCTGGCGGAGGGCAACAATGGTACCGAAAACACCAGCCTGCCCGTGTCTGTCGGGGGCCGGCTATGGTTTCTTGGGGGCCTCTGAGGGGCTTGCTGGCGGTCTCGGGGGCCGCCAGAGGGCGGAACGCTTGAAATCTCAGTTCGACTTTTCCTTCTTGGGCCCTGCTTGGACCTCTTTGGCTGTCTTGTGGCCTTCTTGGGTCGTTCTGGGTCATCCTTGGGTGCCTGATGGGCCGTCTTGAGGCGATCTTGGGGGTCCACGCGGCGTGGGCGAGGTTTGTGCTTTCCGTGGCGGTATGTGGCGGTGCCACGGTTTTAGATGCAGACCCCCCTGATGATACTGAGACCCGTCCCTACATGTTTGTGGCAGGCAGGCGCACTGAAAGCCAGAAGGAAACGTGTGCGTGAAGCAGAGCGTGGGCCGTCTGGTCGCTTTCAGAGCTGCGAGGATGCTGCTGCTGACACTTGGGGGCTGTCACCAGGGGGCTGCTGCTGCTGCTGCTGCTGCTGCTGTTGTTGCTGTCGACGATCTCCTGCACATCGCCTACTGCAGCGTCGGTGTTGCAGCCCGCGTCCACGCGGCTCGGCGCGGCAACCCAGCCTCCCGCTGTGTCGGGCCGCGGGTGGGAGCGACGCTCTGCTGGGGGCCGCGCGCCGCACACCCAGCAGGTTGGCCCGAAGGTCGGCGCCCCGCAGTGTCCGCCGGCGAGGGGCTGGTCGAGGGGCTGGGCGTGGGGCGGGCCGTCGGCGGGGGCGGCCACAGCGGCCGAGGCGCCGCCCGGCGCGGCGGCGGCCGCCGACGCAGAGCTGCCCGCAGCCGCCGCAGAGGGGCGGACCGCGGCAGCGGGGGCCGCGGCCGCGCGCGCGGCCAGCAGGGCCGCCCAGGCCCCAGCGGCGACGGCCGGCCAGAGGCCGGCGACCGCCGCGGCCTCCGCGGCGCCCAGGGCCGCGCCGCAGGCGGCCGCGGCTGCGGCGGCCGGGCAGGCGGCAGCGGCCGCGTCCAGGATCGCGCCAGCGGCGGCGGCGGCGGCCGCCGCGGCGCGGGGGGCGTCGGCGGCGCCAGCGGCGGCCGCGGCGCCCGGGGCGCTGGCGGCAGCGGCAGCAGCCCGGCGCTGCCGCCGCCGCCGCGCCGAGGGCGGTTCCATCCGGCCGGCCCCAGAGGCGGCGGACCCAGGTCGCGCCGACCAACCTCGAGCCAGAGCGGCTTGAGCCAAGGGGGCTTGAGCCAGGGGGGGCTACGGACACTGGTGGGGATACTTTTTTTTGGTCGCGGGCAGACGCGTGAAGTTGTCGCCGAGAGGGGGGTCCGGGGCACGGGCCAGCCGAATTAGCTACTGAGCGACGCGCAAGACGGCCGGGCCAGCACTCAGAAGCGGCGGCTGCTGCTGGTGGAACTGGCTGGGTGGTCTGCAACGCCCAGGGAAGCTGATGCAACTTGCAGGCCTGAGGCAAAAGGAGGCCAAAGATGGAATTAGGTCCTGCACGCCAGGAACGCCTGATCCCCTCTGTACCAGCGACCACCCATCACACTGGCGAGGGCGCTTCCACTGCAGGAAAACCAGAAAGGGGTGCGCCACCAGGAACGGAGAGCTGGAAGCCACGCGTTCGAGCTCAGGCACCGTGGCCAGGAGTGACCAGGTACAGACTGACCATGTCGCCGCAGGGCGCCAAGGGCCAGGGCCGCGGCAGCGGCGCGGAACATGCCAAGTAGGCGGGGACAGGCGCCGGGGAAGCACGGATCTGCTGGAAGGCTGCACCACTCCGCGACACATCTCGTAAACCTTGAGATCGACGCCAGTCCCGAGTAGCGAGGCAAGTAAGGACCAGGCCCCAGGGGGCGACTGCACCAGGGAGCCTGGCCAGGGGTAACGTCGTAGACGCCGTGTTTTTTGTTTTTACTGGGGATACGCGAAGCTTCAATAATTATTCTCCGCGGCACAGGCCGCACAACACCGACGACGACGACTACAACTACGATTACGAATACGACTACGACTACGACTACGTTCACGGCAACAATTACGATTCCAATCACGATTACAACCACAGCCACTAATTCCTATTGCAATCCTCGTGAGAAGATGCTCACAAATCCGCTCGTGTGTATGGTAGCCCACAATGTACTATTCCCTGGCGAAAACCCAACATTATCCAGCCCGCCTAACAATAGAGGGAAAATGATCTCCGCCGCAACAACGACGACGGCGACGACGACGACGATGATGACGACCGACGAGGCGGAGCAGGAGGAGGACGAAGACGAGGAGGAGGAGGAGGAGGAGGAGGAGGAGGAGGAGGAGGAGGAGTTGGAGTAGGAGGAGGAGGAGGAGTAGGAGGAGGAGGAGTAGGAGGAGGAGGAGGAGGAGGAGGAGGAGGAGGAGGAGGAGGAGGAGGAGGAGGAGGAGGAGGAGGAGGAGGAGGAGAGGTGAGTTTGTTTCCCGCCGAGAGACATGGGAGGGGGAGCAAAACGAAAGACCTCCTGCGGTCAGGGCTCCGCCTCCCCGGCCCTTGCCATGTTAGCCGGCGAGCGCCCGCGCCTCTCCGTCTCCCTAAGGTTAGAGGTGAGCGCGGAGAGTAGCGTTCGCAGCGGCTGGGGGCTAGTGGGCAAAAGGGCATTGGCGGCTGGCGCGTCCTCCTACACTTTCTCCTCGTCTTCTCGGTGTTCTTCTTCGTCCACCCCCTCGTCCTCCCATCCACCGTCCTATTCCTCCCCCTCGTCCTCTGCTTCCATCCTTCTCATGGTATCCCCCTTCCTCTACCTCCTCTTCCTCCTCTTATGCTCCTCTTTCCCCCCTCCCAGTCATTCCTTCCTTACTCCCGCCTTCTCATCTGCTCCCCATTTCCTCCCCTGCGCCCCGCGCCGCAACCGAACCAAACATATAAGTTATCATACCCCATCTTCTGATGCATCCCCTGAGATCCGACCTTGCGAAGACATCCAACATCGCGGAAGATCACGTCCGAAGCCCATGACCCCATACTACTACTTTGTTTTCGAGCCGAATCGATGTGCGATTGTCCGGGGGCCAGGAAACAGAGCGACCCCGCCAGGGGAAGAAATGCAACGCCCGGATCTCAGGGTCTCCCCCTCCTCATCTGTAGTGCCACCCGTTGGTGTGCTCGGCATGGTGCAACAAAGAGGTTGCATTTGAGACGCGTCCCTTTCCTCATCTGTGCTGTCATTTGCTCTGGGGGAGAAAAGAACAAACAAAACATCATCCTTCTTATCGATTCTGTTTCCTGGGCTGTCGCAGAGTGAGGCCATCAGCGACGGGGTGCTGCGGGAGTACTTCGGCAGGTTCGGCGAGGCCCCGTGCCGTGGAGGAGGGGGATCGGGCCAGCGGCTCCCGGCCGCCTGTTCTCCGGGAGGAGGGGCAGCAGAGAGGGGGAGGAGGGACGGAGGTGTGACGAGGGGAGGGGGAAGGGAGGGAGGGAAGGGAGGGAGGGAAGGCGGAGGGAGGGGAGAGGGAGAGGGAGGGAGGAGGAGGGGAGGAGGGAGGGGAAGGGAGGGAGAAGGGAGGGGAGGGGAAGGAGCGAGGGGGGAGACACGAGGAGGGCAGGGGACGGAGGGAGGGAGGAGGGACTGAGCCACTGCTCGCCCGCGCTGCACACTGCCTCGCCCGTCCACTGGGCAACGGTTGGGAGCCAGTCTAGGATTAATTCGGGCCTGTCCATCCACAGGAGGAATCTTCAAGAAGAGTAAAACCAATAGTCTAGGGACGATCTTTTGATCATGTTAGATAAGGTTTCGAATCTGTCTTACAATGCTTTACTTTTGTTTCCAAAATCTGCCTGTAGGAGGACATGTCCGACGTAAGTCTAGGAGATTGACAACTCCTTACGCAGGGTCCACCCGACCTGGAACAGCACGGGCATATTCGCATGCGATTTCTCGCGCCCCCTCCCTCAGGTCCGCCCGAAGATATGGGCCGCTCGGAAAAGAGAGGGAACTCGGGGATGCACCCCCAGGGTGCTATCCGGACGCGCCCGAGTCGAGGATGGACGCCCTCCACGTCGTAGATGCTTGAGTTTGGCCTTAAATCCCATCAGCCCTCTGGGCGTGGGTGTTCTAGGGAGGCTCCTCTTCCAACCCCCTTCTTCCCCTTCGGGAAAGGGCTTACCCCTCCCCCTTACCCCCCCCCCTGGACCTGGACAGTGGAGGTCGCGAGGGGTTGGAGCGTCCAAGATGGCCCAAGACGGCTCCAAGAGCGCCTCAGAGAGTCCAAGATGGCCTCCAAGGTGGCTCAAAATAGTGCAAGATCGCTCAATCTGGCTTCCAACATGCTCCGGGAGGCCCCCCATGACGGCTCCAAGTGGTCAACGAGCTTACCCAAGGAGGCCCCGAAAAGGCCCAAATCTTTCCGGAGCTTACGGACAATCAGTGTGTTGTGCTTTCTCGCCTTTTCACTTCCCATGGCCATCCGAGGCCTCAAGGTGGCTCCAAGATGGCCCACGAGGGCCCCAAGAGAGGCCCAAGAGAGCCCCAACACGGCCCCAAGAGCGCCTAAGAGCGCTCCAAGAGCGCCCCAAGAGCGCCCCAAGAGCGCCCCAAGAGCGCCCCAAGAGGCAATTTTCGGCACACTAGAAGGGCAAGGCTAATTGAAGCCCCCCTCTTGCTATCTCTTGCTTGATCGATGTCTTCCAAGATAGCTCCAAGAGCGCTCCTGTAGCTCCCAAGAGGGCCCCAAGAGGCACCCAAGGGGTCTGCAATAAGTTTTGGGGGGATTCCCAGGGCCCCCAGCGGATCCCGCCACAAGGGCCCGTCGCCGCAAAATGCGGCCTGAACTCAGGTCTCCACGACCTGCGACTGCACCAGCTCCACCTCGACGCCGTCCCGTAGTTAGCCGCGCTGCACTGGCAGGGCGGGATCCTGAGGCAGCTGCTCGCCCGTCTGGGGGTGCTTCCCTGCCAGGATGCGAGCCCTCCTCTCTCTCTCTTTTGGCGTCGTCCTCTAATGACCTGCCCTCCTTCTCCAGCGGCCCCGGGCAGGATGCCCCGAGCCCCGCCCTCCTGGTCGCCGAGGGGACTCCGCGCGTCACGCACACAGCGCACGGCACTTGCACCTCCACTCGATGCTCTCGCTCCGCGGGTAGCGCGTTGCCTTTACCTCTCTCTCCCTCTTGAGCTCCAGCCGCCGCCGCTGCCGCCGCCGCCGCTAAGGCCACGCACTTCTCGAGCGACCCAGAGGTTCCAGTCCTTCGCACTCCCGTTGACCTCCACGGCGGCGGCTGGCACACCGACTCCCGCAGCTTCTTGCGCATGCGCTTGGATACCCCTCTCTTGCCACCTCTCGCATACGAGCCACTTACCGATCGTCACCACCTCGTGCTTCGTCAGCGCCAGCTTCGGTTTGACTAGCTTCCTCCTCGGCTTCCCTGGCTCTCGCTTGGGGACGTCGGGCCACTCGCCTCCTATCTTGTGATACCACCAACCGATGTTCTGCACCGCCCAGCGCACCTTTGTGCCCAGCTCGTCCAGCGCCTGCTGCTTCCCGTAGTTTGCGTCAAGCGCCGCACCCTCCTTTGTCAACAGGTTCATTGCGCCGTTGCCCGTCGCAATCTTGAGCTCGTCGAACTGGAACTGCGCGGTCTTAGCCTTGGACCCGTGCGCTTTCACGTGGTGCACCATGCTCACGCCCAGGTCCATGCCCTTCACCTTGTGCCAGATCCTCCGCCACAGGACTGCGCGTGGCCTCTTCCAGCTTGTGCGCCGCTTCTCGCCCCGCTGTAGACCATCGATGATGCCCTCGTGGTCCGTGTAGATCCTGCGCGGCGGGAGCACTTTCTCGAGCACCTTGAGGAATGCCCACATCTCCGCGCGCTTGACCTGCCTCTGCACCGGCAGCGCACACGGTAGCGGGCCCCACAGTTGCACCTTCGGCTTGCCTTCGTCTGCGAGTGACATGGCCGCCCGGCCCGTCTGCGCCCACTCACTGTAGCCAGGCTTCGGCCGCTGCGCACTCTGTCGCCAGTGAACAGGTCGTCGTCGCACTCGAGCACCGCCCCACTGTACTGGTCCTCCTCAACGCCTACGAACCTCCAGTCCGCCTCAGGGCCCCTGGCTAGCCCTCGCGCCCAGAGTAAGTTGTCCTCCCGCTGCTCCGCCACGTGCTGCCACTCGGCTTGCGCCTCGAGCCTCTGTTCCCTCAGGGCCCCGCACTTGAACGGCCTCTGATGCGGCGTATTCACTGCTTGTCCACAGCCCAAACGTACTACATATGTCCGTCGGCACAATGCTGCACTCGCAGAGCTTACTCATTGCCCAGCTGCCTCCTACGAACACCTTCTTCGCCGCGTTCTGGGCGTGCGCGGGAGAACCTCTCCCCCGTAGCTGCGAGGCCGCGGGGGTTATGTACGGGGCTGGCTTGAGACTGCCGCGCCGTTCGGCCGCCGTCCACTCCCCCCGCAGCTTGCTCTGCGCATCCTTGCGCAGCATGGCCACGACGTCCATGGGGCGCGCCTCCCTCAGGTCTAGGTCGAAGCCGTCCTTCGCGCGAGTCGTGTGCCAGGCAACCCACGTCCAGCCAGCCCTCTTCATCGACATAATAACTGCGCCTGCTGGGCCCCGAACTCACGCCCAGGAAGGCTGCGTGCCCATCTCTTGCTGCTGTCGCCTCCACGCCTTCATCGGCATGTCTGCCGCGTCGCCCCATCTGGCGCTTATTCCCGACCGTCCAGCGCGTGGCGACTGCGAACCTGATGCGAGCCCAGGATTTGCTTCTGACCGTCCAGCACGCGGCGACTGCGAACCTGGGCCATGCCCAGGATCTGTTCCTGACCGCCCAGCAAGTGGCGATTTCGAACCTGAGACGGGCCCAGGATTTGTTGCCGCCCGCCCAGCAAGTGGCGACTCTGAACCTGAGCTGTAGTCCAGGATTTCGCCCGTCACCTGTCGAACTTCAGCATGCCACACCTCTCTTGCCAATTTCACTATCGGCGCCTCAGTTACTTCGAAGGTCGGCTCCCCTCGTGCTACCGCCAGCTGCAGTGCGAGGCTCTCGGCGCCCCTTCCCCCAGGCAATGCGCGCCCTGCTTCGCGTCGTAACTGCCGCAGCCGTTGGCCCGACATGCCCAGGCACTTGCGCCCGTGCAACACCGAGCGCCTGAGCCCGCGCTCGTACGCCAGGGTCGTGCCCCTCGCCATCTTGCGCCCGCCTCCTTTGAGGCTCGCCAGCCGCTTGTTCCTCGCCAGCATGCCGTTGAACCTCTTCTCGCTCTTCGGCTTGGCCGACGCCCCGTTCGCGGTGAGGCCCACCCCTGGGCGCTGACGGCCCCTCTGCCTGCGCTCCCCAGAGAGAAATTGAGGCGCCCCAGCTTGCCGAAGCCCTCGAAGCGAGCGCCCAGCGCCTCGCCGATCTCCTGCACCACGCGCTGCTGCTGCTGCCTCAACTGCACGCGCAGGTCGCCCACGTGCGTCCTCCACTTGGCGATGGGCCTCTCCGCCACCAGCCCGTCCACCGTTGACTGGGTGACAATCTTGAGGACGCCGAACAAGAACTTGCCCCCGGCGATGACGGCGGCCACCGCGCGCGTCTCCTCCGACACCGACTCGCCCACGAT